GCTGGAATTTGTAATAATTTGCAAAGTTATCAATAGCAGTATAGCATTTATTATTTTACAATACATTTAATATATGCATCATTTTTTAAAAACAGCTTTTCATTTTTAGATAAATTATTTGATTTATATCATCCTGAGTCAGAGCTTTCAACAATTTGTAATAGTCCTTTTTTTGCAAATCCCTAAATCAATTAAATAGTCTGAAAGGAACAAAATGAACATTTCATCTAGAATTCTATTTTTAAAGGAACAGTACAACTACCAGATCATACCATAAACATCCACTTGAAAAACTCACCTAAGAGGAAGTAGAGGTAGTCCTCAAATTACAATCATGCATTTAGTGACTGTTCAAAGTTACAATGGCAGTGAAAATAATGACTTCTGATCATTTTTCACACAACCATTGCAGCATCCCCATGGTCACATGATCAAAATTCAGATGCTTGCAAATACATATTTATGACGGCCGCAGTGTCATGTGATCACCTTTTCCAACTTTCTGACAAAAAGCAATGGGGAAGTCAGATTCATTTAATAACTTTATTACTAATTTAATAACTGTGGTGATTCACTTAATAACTATGACAAGAAAGATGGGTAAAATGGGCCAAAACTTACTTAACATCTATCTCACTTAGTAACAGAAATTTTGGCTCATTTGTGGTTGCAAGTTGAAGATTACCTGAATACTGAAAGATAAGACATATTTACACTTGAAATACTATATGCTTCTTTTATGGTGGTGAACACTTTTGAGAGACCCATTAAATCTGCAAAGCAAAGGCGCCGACTAAAACAATTTCAACTGTTTCTGCCAAAATTTTCCATACTATGGTCGACAGCAAAGGCAATGGAGGAAAGGCCTATAATGGAGGAAAGCCATATAGCCACCTGCTATGGAGAGCGTTGGTTCTTTCAGCCCCCAGGGTGACAAATCTACTAAAACATCTTGGTAAACGGGCATTGAGTGGCAAAGCAAACAAATCCACCACCAGAAGTCCAAATCTCTGAGTAATCTGTGGAAAGAGGGAAGAGTGTAGCCTCCATTCCGTGTGGTCAATAGTAGCTCTGCTGAGCCAGTCTACCTGCATGTTATCCGTGCCAGAAATATGCTCAGCCCATATGTACAGGAGGTGATACTCTGCCCATCTACCCAAAGCCTGAGCTTCTGTCATAACGGATTTGGACCTGGTGCCTCCCTGCCTGTTAATATGGGTTTTGGTGGCTACATTGTCTGTCATGATGAGGACATGTATACCAGAGACCTGTTGACTAAACTTTCTGAGAGCTAAATGGACAGCCCTAAGTTCCAGCCAATTTATATTGTGTGCTTGTTCCTCGGTCGACCATATGCCTTGAGCCCTGTGAGAACCAGATGAGCTCCCTAACCTGATAAACTGGCATCGGTCATGAGGATGAGTCTGTCCTCCATCTTCAAGGATAGACCCTTGGAAATGGCTCTGGAGAGCCACCATTGAAAAGATTGCACCACCTGCTTAGGCACCTTAACCTTCGTCAAGGAGTGATAATAATTCTGGGGAGGTCTATCATAACTTTTAGTGGTTGCAAAATGACCAATCGCAAGTCAAGGACTACCTATGATTAGAAGGGCTTACCGTACTGTTTTTTCCTAATTCTGATGAAAAATATTACAAACTTCAGCTCTCATTGATGCTCTTTTGAGCTTGACAGAGAGGAAATGAATGGCCTGAAAAAAATAATCCATGTAAATATTCTCCACTATAAAATGATTAGCCTATATTGTGCCAATGCAGTCTACCTTTATTTATTTATTCAAATTTAATAGCCACACAACTTTTCTATTTTGATTTTCCCTATTTGCAGAGCTCAAATAAACTTAAATAAACACCTCCATTTTCCTGCATGTGAGGTCCATTTCTTTGGGTGCTGCAGCTTCTACATTCCTAGTTCCAGCAAGAAATGATATGTAAGGAAAATTGTGATTCAAAAATAGTGTGGACAGTTTGACGTTCTCATTGGTTACTCTTATTTTTATGTTTAATAACAGACTGGTATCTTGCAGTGACACCCAGGAGGATCATTATTTTTGAAGCAGGATTCCTTGGAGACTAATTATGCAACTGTGTTACTTATGACGAATCCAGAAGATCACAATAAGAATATTTTCTTCTTATAGCTGGGATTGTCTAGAGAAATGTGCTTGTAAAAATCTAGAATCTTTCTGAGGAAAACAGACATTTGCTACTACATTGTAGCACAGCTGCTGTTTAGGGGTATAGAGATCAGGATAACTAGCAGATTGCAGCATTAGAGTTGTAACAGAATTTCATCTAAAAGAAAATGTACCTGTGATAGTAATCAAAACTTCAGCTTTCTATTTTGAAGAAGAATATTTTTAGTCCCCCATGTGGCAGGCAGATGTCTAAGCTCAGAAGTATCTGAATAGTACCTGAATTTTTGAGTAAGTTACACAGCTAACCCCTGCACACTGCACCTTCTAAAATAAAACAAGATGCATTGTCCAATCTACAATATTAGCTATTATTTGGTCTGATATACATGTTGAAATAACAATGTCCTTCAAAAATGAACAATAATCCATTTTTAACCTTACCTTTTGGGAAGAGATCATTCATATGGAAATAAAAAAGTAGCATGATCCCTTTGCTCCTATCCAGAAGAAATATTCTTTTCCGTCCATATTTTGTTCAGAGAAGAATTGTTTTACTCTTTTCTATTAGAAATAATGTTAGTAAGAACTTGGTGGAAGTTATGTTATATGTCTCAAATTAAAGTGGATGACAGCACAATTACTGGGCTTAATCTTTGAGAACAGATCTGGGAGTTTTGTTGTGTAAAAATTGAGATAAAAATGTTTTAATCATACTAAATTTTAAATAGCCAATTTCATCTGAGGCAGTCCAGAAACATGCAATAGGCTTCACTGCTAGATATAAATTTGTTCCACAATGGCTCTTATTACATGGTATGGACAAATTAACAGTCTTCAAATAGCAAAACTATTAGGCATAACCTTAGAATTGCATTTTAGCAACCAATGTAGTCTTAGTCCCAATTTCATTAATGACCATATAATTCCAATTCAATCATTTCCTCTAAGGAAAGATTGAAGGCAAATGAGGTCCAGGTGGGAGAACATCATGGCTTCAAAATCTAAGGAACTGGTTTGGACAAAACTCTACAACATTTTTTCATGTGTCTGTTGATAAAAACAGGATTACCAACATGATCGCCAACATCCAATGATGGATAGGGCCCAAGAAGAAGAAGAATCATTTTAGGGGTGGAAAGAGAAAAGGATGTTGAGAAAAGGATATTGTTCTTAGGGTTCTTAAAGGTACTGTTAGTATTGCCATTGAAGTGTTTTACATATACAGTGCTGCGTTAATAAAATAAACACAAACTGCTACTCATAATAGTTCAAAAACAGAAATAACCATTCTTTCAAATCAGGATCCTTTGGTAGCATAATTCTTCAAAAGAATGTCAAATTTCACCAAGCCTTAATTTTCAAGTTTTGGAAGATGGAATAATATTCTCTGAACTTCAGAAATAGTATTATGCCAGCCATGCCTGAGTGGGTATAGGGCTGTTTCCAAGAAAACTTCAGTGACTAAAATGTTGAAGGAGAAAATATGGCAGCTATTAATTTCTCAGCCCAAAATATTATTTTAAATAAAAGAAAAGAAAATTGGAAACTGACTTTTTTTTTAAAGTGCTATTTTGTTGCTTTGAAATTCAGGTACCCCAAGTTGGCATGGAGCTGAAGACCTGATCCTTGAATTTGGGAGAGAAAAACATTTTTACCTTTACAAAGGGATTTTTTTTACCCACCCCCAAAATATGAAACACTAAGTAATTCGTAAAAAGTATTTATTAAGAGAGATCAAAACTTTATATAGGGTATAAATATAGGGTACAGAAATAAATGATACATTCAGTATATATATGTGAGAAAGCAATTGATCAGACATTATTAAATGTGAGAACTGAACAATGGAAAACATTGACTCTAAAAGTGGTGAATTTATGGGTTACATTAAATCTTCTTTTTCCAGTTGAGCTTGTATCTTTCTTAAAACTTGCAAGGGCATCCAGAATAAGCTCCCTCTCCTGCTGAAAGGTTTATTTATTGCCCATAAAAGAAATGCTTTTGGCTATAAGGAAAACATGGTTTCCTGTATTTCAAAAGGTGGCGTGGATGTCATGCCAAAATGCTAATATTACCTTTATTAAAATGCTAATAATGAACCCTAAAATTCCAGGTTTACTATGTATCGGTTCTTTCCAATGAGCCTATGCATCCTACATTTAAAAAAAAAACAAAACCCAGGGGTTTTTTTTGCGGGGGTGGGGGTGGGTGGGGGACTTTTATGACACACATTTTAAAAAAAGCTGGGATTGTAAAGAACATCCTGCTGGTCATATTCGGCCCAGATGTTTTTTGGACAATCCATGCTTACCACTGCAAATTCTCCCACAGCAATCCCCTTATGAGAACACCCGCATGATGACCCCACATTCAAACACACCTAAAGCCATTGATAGTTCGCCTCTCGATAGTTCAAGCATCTCTGCCCAACACGGCAGGTGGGTCTCCCATCTCGCCCTCCCCCGTGCAAAGCAACTATGAATTACACCTCCAGTTTTATACACAACGACTGTCACAGTACCATATCTGAGGCAGACGCGGTGGCATTCAATTTCAATTCCGTTGTAATGACAGCACAGGGTCATCCTGCACCGCGTATTTTGACCGCCCCTCAGGCGAAGGCGAGAGGCTCCTACAACCCTCCCTGAGCAATAGCGGCGCCCGGTCGTTCATTCCCCGCTCCTGAGAAGGAGGAGGAGGAGGAGGACGGCGGCGGTTGGAGCAGCCTTTCCCTTTGGGCTCGCGATAGGTACATTCCGGCGCAGGCGCATTACGACGCCGGCTCGCGTGACCTGACCGCTTTCGACGGAGCGGGCGGCGGAAGCTTTCCACGCCCGGGCTCAGGGGGTCGGCGGCGGAGGCGGCGGAGGCGGTGGGGGGGGACGTTCTGGCTCCAGAGGGCAGCGGGAGCAAGATGAAGCCGACCCTGGCGCTGCTGTTGCTGGTGGCGGTGGGCTTGAGCGGCGCTGGGGCTCAGCCAGGCGGTCTGCCTCCTGGGAAGAAACTACGCATGGCCTACGCCACCGGGCCGTTGCTCAAGTTCCAGATCTGGTGAGTGCGGAGGCCCGTTGGGTTGCCCGCAGCTTCCCGACCGTAAGCCGGAGCCAAGTTGAACTCCCGTGCCGAAGGCCGGCCCGCCGCCGCCGCTTCCTCATTTCCGTCCTCCTCTCGGAGTTAAGGAGGCGGCGGAGGATGGTGGGGCAAAGTGCGGGCGAGGCTGGTGTGTGGAAGAGGCAAGAAATGTCACGGCGGGAACCAACCCAAGTGGAAGTGACGGGTGGGGAGGAAATCGGGGTAGATAGGACGGGAGCCGATCCTGAAGCTCTGGAGGCTGCGGGGAAAGGAGGCGGAGAGATGGTGGTGCCTGAGAGGAGGCGATGACTGGCATGCAAAGCTCTGCAGGTTGGGTTCTTTCCTAGGGAAACCGGCTGGAGCTTGCTCGTTTCGGTGTTGGGTTGCAGCTAATATTAAGAATAACAGCAAGGAGACAGCCTGAGTAGGCAGGATAGAGTGAAGATGCAGGCAGTTGTGAGGCTAGAAAAATACAGTATTGTAATAGTTAGGAAGTACTAGAATCTTTGCCTCTCCCCCCTTCCCCCCCCCCAGAATTATTGGCAAAGCAAACTCTCCTTCCTACCAAAGGCAAACTTGCCACATCCATAATCGGCATATTAAACAGGCAAGATCCAGTTTTTAAATGATCTCATTTGCCTTTCATTTACATTTCTGTAGATTACTGGGTTTATTTATTTTGAAATTATGCTAAACGAGATGTGCCAAGTGATGTTGGAATAAGATAAATACCGGGCAGCTATTTAGGAATTGGAAGGCCTTGAAAGTCAGAGGGGTAACTTTAAGTGGTTAACAGCAAAACATGAGCTCGTGTTTTCTATTACAGAGTTGGGAGCAGTACAGGTAATCCCTAACTTGCAGCCATTCATTTAGTGTCCATTCGAAGTCACAATAGCACTGAAAAAGGGGACTTACAATGATTTTTCACTGCGACTATTGCAGTGTCCCAGTGGTTATGTGATCAAACTTCAGAGACTTGACAACTGCTATTTATAATGGTTGCACTGTCCCAAGATCATATGATGTCCTTTTGCACCTTTCTGACAAGCAAAGTCAGGAAGTCAAGGAAGCCAAATTCGCATAACAACCGTGTTAGTAACTTAATAACCACAGTGATTTATTTAACTGTGGAAAGAAAGGTCATAAAATGGGGAGAAACTACTTACCTGGCTTGCTTAGGAACAGAAATTTTGGGCTCAGTTGTAGTTGTAAATTGAGGATTACTTGTAATATATAATGCTGGAAAGTATTCATTAATATGGATTTTATGCCATAACCTTTTTTGTTTCATATTGCTTGCTTTTTTCCTTAGCACATATGACAGTTTTACATTAGGACCATTCAAAATTACAATGGCACTGAAAAAAGTGACTTATGACCATTTTTCACGCTTATGATCATTGCAGCATCCTCGTGGTCATATGATTTACATTTGGATGTTTGAGAACCGGTTCATGTTTGTGATGGTTGTAGTGTCACGGAGTCATGTGATCATCTTTTGTGACCTGACAAGCAAAGTCAATAGCGAAGCCATATTCACTTAATGTGGCAAGAAAGATTGTAAAATGTGGCAAAACTCACTTAACAAATTTCTCATTTAGTAACATAAATTTTGGGTTCAGTTGTCATAAGTCAAGGACTACCTGTAATATAACTTGGCAGTATCAAAAGCTCTATAGTGTGATTAACATACTGTGAATTTCTTTGATTGGAGTGGGGATATGGGATATAGGAATTCAGAAATTGTAGAGAAAAGGACAGTGTTGTCTTTGATCTGGTAATGTATGTGTTGTGACTTTACAGTGAAAAAAGCAGTTACCGCTTATACTCGAGTATAAGTCGACCCGAATATAAGCCGAGGCACCTAATTTTACCACAAAAAACTGGGAAAACTTATTGACTTGAGTATAAGCTTAGGGTGGGAAATGCAGCAGCTACTGGTAAATTTCAAAAATAAAAATAGATACCAATAAAAACTTTCACTAGGACAGTTGAGAATAAGTTTGATGTTCATAATTTCCTCTTTGAAAGAGACCGGTAAATAGGGAACAAGAAGATGAAGAAAAAGAAGTGTGTTTTTTCACACTTTTCACACTGCAGTGAACAAAAATGGCATCATAGGAACAGGCTTATTCTCAGTCCAAAGGTTTGTTTCTGATTTCTTCTCTGATTTAAGGGAAATTTGGGAAACGATCTCACTATCATGAAAGGTTTAATTGATTCACTAACCCAAAAGAAGAAGATGATGATGACAGTGGGAGGCAGGAGTCACTCTCTCCCTTGGAAGAAAAAAGCAAGAGCATCCCGGGGGTTTTGCATTTGCAAGGTGCAAAGTGGCGGGGGCGGATTGCGCGTGCTGGAAAGGGCTTGACTGTATTACGGAGAGAGAGAGAGAGAGAGAGATCATAAGAACGGCTCTTGCTTTTTTCTTGCAAGGGCCGGGCACTGGGGGCTTGCAAGGGAGAGAGTGATTCCTGCCTCCCACTGTTATCATCATCATCTTTTGGGTTAGTGAATCAATTAATTTGGGAAACGATCTCACTATCATGAAAGTCAGTGTTCTCTGCCCGTGGGGCGTTTGGAAGAAAACACCCCGCGGCATATCCACACGCATGTAAGGGGAATCAGAAATCCCCACGTTCAACGCCTAGCACGGCAGAAGAGAAAACGCAACTGTGAGCAAATACTGGGAAAACCTGATTGATCAGAAGGAAAGAGGCAAAAGAGGGAGGGGTGGTGGTGGACGGAGGTCCCACTGGTATTTGTGAAACACTCGGTCGGCAGCGCTTAAAATCAACGTCCTCGCTCCCACCCACCCAAAGCCACAAAGTCCCCCAATCACGCAGCCCAGAATCGCCCTCCCCTCGGGGCAGCAAAGACACCCGGCGTTTCCCGAGACAAGAAGCTCCGCCCTGGTTCTAGGCTCACGGGCTCAGAAAACAACGCGAGCCGAGGTGGCTTCGGCTCTGCTCGGCTTCGTTTCCTCAGCCCCAGCTGCTTTCAATCCGCTCAGGAGGAGGGGGAGGAGGTGGTGGCGGCTCGCGTTGTTTTCTGAGCCCGCGAGCCTAGAGCTCAGAAAACAACGCGAGCCGCCACCATTTCTCCTCCTCCCGAGCGGACTGAAAGCAGCTGGGGCTGAGGAAATGAAGCTGAGCGGAGCAGAAGCCACCTTGGCTCGCGTTTTCTGAGCCTGCGAGCCTAGAGCTCAGAAAACAACGCGAGCCGCCGCCACCACCTCCTCCTCCCGAGCGGACTGAAAGCAGCTGGGGCTGAGGAAACGAAGCTGAGCGGAGCCGAAGCCACCTCGGCTTGCGTTATTTTCTGAGCCCACGAGCCTAGAGCCAGGGCGCTTTCATTGCAGGGCGGAGCTTCTTGTCTCAGGAAACACTGGGCGTCATTGCTGCCCCCTGAGGGGAGGGCGATTATGGGCTGCGCGATTGGGGGACTTTGTGGCTTTGGGTGGGAGTGAGGACAGACGGAGTCCGCAAAGTGGGGCTTGCCTGCCCTTGCTGGCTGCCTCTGCTTCCTTAGGGGCGGGGAAGGGGGCTCATCTGGACCAAGGGTGAGTCTCCCCCTCAGTTTCCCCTGAAGGATCTTCCGTCGCTTTTGCCTTCTTCCTACGTCTTCCCTCTGTTAAAATCCCCCCCACACACACATTTATTTTCGGGTGGATAGATTTCGTGTCTGAGCATTCTCACATGACGGTGGGCCTTTCCCCCCCCCCTAAAAACAGTTAAAAAAAACCACAATATATCCTCATGCAAGAACTTTTCTGCTTCCGATTACCCCCACGCTTACAAGTTGCAAAGGAAACACGGAAGCAGGGAAGCGGCTATCCAGCTCCAGAGCTCCACACCATTTTTTTTTTCAGAGGGGAATCTCACTCAAGTATAAGCCGAGGGGGTTTTTTTCAGCACAAAAAATGTGCTGAAAAACTCGGCTTATACTCGAGTATATACGGTAACTTGGGATAGTAGAAAAATGTGTAGATGGTTCCGCTCATCTTTTTATCTGTTTTCCTAGCTGCCACCCTTCCTTCCCCAAATTTATAAAAGACAAGTTATCTTAATCCTTGCTCAGTAATTAAATCAGTATAAAGGAACAGTCTATTAGAAGTGAAGCAATAAAATACAGGTTATTCAAATCCGTTTTTACCCTCATATTTGTCATAAGATTGGTTGTTCATTAAGGGAACAACTTTTGCACTAACTGTAAAAGTAAACCTGTAGGCAATTCAGACTCTTGGAGCTTACTCCTGAGTTTGTATGCCTAGAATTGACACAACAATTGAATAATTCTAAAAAGCTGACTGAGAATTCTTGTCAGTAAACATACTTAACATTTAATTCCATTGCATTTCATTTATATGTAGTGTTTTCCTGGAACTGGATACTAGAAGCTGCCTAGATTTACTAAACTACAGCTTTGAAGACAACTGAGAAAGGAAAGCCAAATGTGATGGCTGCTAGAGATATAATCCTCCAGATATTATTGGATTAAATGTTCGTTGGCCCTATTCTAAGAATTTTTTAGCAATCAGTTTTAGCAAAATATTTCTAAAATAGCACAATTTTTATCATTGTTAAAGGTGAACATGGACTGACAATATATCTTTAAAAATTTTAAGTCATCTACAACATCATACATGCACATATTTTTGGAAATGAGATTTCAACATTACAAATTACAAGTATGAAACTAAACATGCTAGATCTCCACTTAAATTTGATTAATTAAAGATTATGATTTTGAAATTTGAGAATATTTCAGTTTTTGTTTTGCCCTAAGTATCTTTTGATTTTTTCCCCCTTAATTATTTATCATTTTTTTCCTCTATGAAACTTTCAGAATTAAGAATATATGTGACTATTTCTTACTATTTTTAAACAAGCATTGTTATGTCTCTGATGAATCAGAGTTACATCAGCATAACAAAACACATAGGAATTAAAGTGGGAAAACAGGAGATCATTTTAAAAAACAATTTCACATTAGTCTTTTAAGGTTTTTATTTTTAAAACAGCATTTAATAAAGTTTATAAATATATAATGTTATATACAATTCCTCACATTAAGCTCAGGAACTGTAGTATAAATTTGGTTTTCACAGCACTAAATGAGTTTATGTAAAAATAGGTTAAAATTAATTTTATTAAAAATGTTTGTTGAAAAAAGTTAATCTCCATAAGAGCAACTGTAAAGCAGAAAATGACTTTTAACATGAAAATCAATAGAGTATTTGGCAAGAATCAAATGAGAAACAAAGAAATAGAAATAGAACATTGCAGTACTAACAATAATTAACTAAAATTTATTCTTGAACTCAAATGTGGCTTCCAGAACATTGTTTGAAATGATGATATCTATCTAGTTGTTGAACTAGACTGCATGATTACAATATCCTTAGTTATGATGAAGACTTTCGGAAGGAGTCATTTGAGCAGAAGACTATAACAAATGGATTTTTTGTTTTATGCTAATTATTGGATCAAAGAGACTGGTTTACTACCAAAGCTATTCTGATTTTTCCAATTGTTTCTCATCATGGTATTAGAGATTGTTGTACATTAAAATATAATATAGAAACTGGTTATGGAAAGGCTTTGTAACAAATTGTAATGAGAAACTATGGAAGCAACAAAGTAATAATTTTATATTCTAAATAGTATTGCAAAAAATATATAATTTTGCTGAATTGCTATTCTATTCATTTTTGCTAATATTTTAAAGGTCAATGCATACTGGATGGAATTAGAGTTAATGATAGTTTTATATAATGTATATCTATACCGTATGGTAAATAAAAATATAGTATAAACTAATGTCACAATAAAACCATAAATATCAGCATTAGACAGTATTGTACACCAGTATTAGAAATTTTCCAATATAATATAATCAGGGAAAATGTTTTTACAACCTCAGTATAAATCTACATATCAAGCATTTTTCTAAACAAAATCACTGGTATTATGGTGAGAACTTTCAGCACTACTACTACCCTAACTAGTAAAACACTTTTTTGGGAGTATTGGTTCTTGTTTTTCTCAGGCGGCTGTTGCCGATATTTCTAATTATCTGTCTTAGAGTTCTATGGGAAGAGTTTTTTCCAAACCATTGAATTTATCAGAGTGAGATGGAGGGGAGGACTGTGTGTGTTTATGTATGTATAAAATGCTCCATCATACAACTACTAATTGTGATAAAATACTTCTGTGCAGTGTTTCCTGAGGATACAGGCGGGTGTTTGAAGAGTACATGCGGGTTATTAGCCAGCGGTACCCAGACATCCGCATTGAAGGGGAAAACTACCTTCCCCAACCCATATATAGGTAAGTTAGTTCTGAGTTAAAATATGCTAAATAACTTACCTGAATGGATGGGGAATATCTAGTTCTGTAATGTTACGAAATCTCAAAAGCAATATTTGATGGCATTCTTATTTAGTTTTAATTACTGTGTACAATAATAATAATGCAATAGTCTGAAAAGTAACAAAATATAAGCAAACAGCTGTTCAAAGAACATCAAAAAGATTTTTAAAAGAATAATATTCAGCCATTGTTAATGTTCTTTAACATTTGCGTGCAACTTTTCAGATATATTGTCAAGCAAAATCCATTAGTGTTCACATTGGCATGGCATAACTTGTTTCTTTAGATGAGTTAAATTTAGTTTTATTCTATCAGTACTTTGGTGATTAACTTAACTTTTTTTTCCTACCAGACATATAGCCTCTTTCTTGTCAGTCTTCAAACTAGTGCTAATAGGCTTCATTATTGTTGGCAAGGATCCTTTTGCTTTATTTGGCATGCAAACTCCAGGTATCTGGCAGTGGGGACAAGAAAATAAGGTATGATTTCTTAATAGCATTTTATTTTTTAATTGTGCTAGAAGCAGATTTTATACTGTTAATTGAACCACACTACATGAGTATCCTCTTACTCATAAGATTGGAAACAGAGTGTACTTTAAAAACATTATAAGCATAGTAATAGAACCAAAACATCTCATTTAGGAATGAAAAAATTCTTGACTCGTAAAGATATTTTTTTGGCTACAAGTAAGATTTTGTGTGTGTGTGTGTGTGTATGTATGTATGTACACATACAGTATGCCTTTGTGTTTAGTCTTGACTCTTGGGACTACTTGAACAAGTCCCTGTTTCTTGGCAATATTTTTTGGAAATGGTTTACCATTATTTTCTTCCTAGAGCTGAGAGAGTCACTGACCAATCCAATGCCACTCAGCTGGCTTTGTGCCTAAAGCAAGACTAGACTCATGGCATGTGGTCTTGTGCCTTTAACTATCACAGCAAATTGGTTCTCACATGGGCATGATAATTTTTGGTCCTTTTAAATGCCAAAAATAATACATTCTTTTGATTGATATAAGTAGTTTGGAGAGTCCATCGGAATTTGAAGGCTAATAAATTTAAATTAATAATAACAAAAGCAACATTACTATCTAGTTGATATAAGAGTGTTTAAAATTCTATTTGTCTTCAAAATTAGAATTTGTGAAACACTTTAAAATAAGTAATTGAATGAAGAATGGGTTGAAATTTAATAACTTGACCCCGGCTATATACTTTCTTTGATGAAAATGTATTTTTAAAGAACTTTTATAATGTTTGACTAAAAATTTTTCAGACCTATCTTGGTAAGATTTATATAATCCCATCCTTGACTAATACTAAACAAATGCTAATTAAGTATTATTAGGGTTGAAGCAGAATATTTAGCAGATTGTGAAACTATAATGTTTTATGGAGCTTTTATTACACACACACAGACATATTTATACATTGCACTTCTTAGATTTTTTTTCTTTTAAAATTTGATGTTGCCAATGTTATTCATAAGTATTTTTTCTAAATATAAATGATTTTTGTAATATAAAAATAGCAAATCAATAAAACCTCTTAAAGAATAATAAAGAAATACGTATAGCAGATATTGCTATCAATAGGGGGCCACGGAGGCTCATGTGGTAAGACGTTGGCCTGTGTACCACTGAAGTCGGCGGCTCAATTCCCATGAACGAATAAACTGCGTAGGGACAAGAAAGGGGCCTCCCTCAAATGCCTACCGGCATTCAGGTGTCCCGCAGGTAAAAATAACACTGCCTGAAAAAAATCCTTTCACAAAGGCAGCCAGCCACCTTGATGATCCCTGGCTAACATGTGCCATACGCTAAAAAAAATTGTTATCAATTTAATTGGGGGAACTCACAAATTCATGACATAACTCTTAAATATATTGTGTGATTTAATAACTGTGATAAATGCTCTTTTTAGGTATATGCTTGTATGATGGTTTTCTTCCTGAGCAACATGATTGAGAACCAGTGTATGTCAACAGGTGCATTTGAAATAACTTTAAATGGTAAATTTTCAATAATATTTTATCTTCCATTAAGTTTAAAACGGTATCCATATAAGACACAGATTGGAGTCAAACTTGATTTGAACAAATTCTTATTTGTTAAGAATTTTATCAATATATAAACTCCATTTGATACCCAAGATCAGACATAGGGTTTCTAAAGATAAAAAAGAACCTCTTTGGATCTGAGCCCTAAACTTTCACAAAACTAAGATTATTTTACTTCTTTTGTTTATTATATTTGTATCCTAACACAGTAAAAATGTTAGTTATGGTCTTCTTTAGATTAGTAAGGTCATTTCATTTGAATTTAGAGAGTAAACTGTTTCTGTTTCTCAGTTTGGAAATTCCCAAGTAAGATAAGGAAACAGGTTTTTTTCTTGTATGTATTTTGTACTGAACTAATGTTTTAAAAATGGCTGTGTGTTTTTAAGACCCTGCTAAAGTTGGCTGAGAATTTATGTGTTAATGATTGATATTAGAAAGAAACTGAAATGAAATCAGAGCATGAATAATACTGGTTTTCCTTTCTATTAATAACCGTGTTAATTTTTTTACTCTCAATGTTTTGAATCATTAACACAGAAGTAACTATTTGAATTTGTAGTCTTTAGATATTCACTGATGTCCCAAATCTTCATGAATGATATACTTAACTACAGAGTAATTAGAACAACAATACTGATGGCATGTGTGTTGTTTCTTCCACACTTACTGAGAATAAATTTTGTTTGCAGAATTGCAATGTTTATATTTTCTGTGGATTTTTCAGCACTGTGGAATTCTTGCTTAGTTAGAAGGAACCGGAATATCCTGACTTTTTTTATTTCAAAAGCTTGTATCCATAGATTGCATAAGTATTTGGAATATAGGTAGCTATAAAAGCTATTCCATCACCTTATATATTTTATCCTTTTTTTCTTATGCTTTTTAGATGTCCCAGTGTGGTCTAAGCTGGAGTCTGGGCATCTTCCTTCCATGCAGCAACTTGTTCAAATCCTTGATAATGAAATGAAACTCAATGTGCATATGGAGCAAATGCCACATCATAGATCATAGCCCCATTCATCAGTACTGAACACTTCTTGTAAGTTTTTAAAATGATTTATTTGCTTGATATCTGTGTGTCTATACATATACACATACATATCATACAGTAATTTAATATTAAAGCATTTAGCTGTTCAAGAAGGAGCAGTTGGAACTTGCTGATAGTTAGAAATAGATCTTTCCTTTCTGACCATATTCTGTACCTATCTAGGATATTTAAGCAGTGAAGTAGAGCAGAGATCCCTAACCCCCAGGTTGCAGACAGGCACTGATCAGTGGCCTGTCAGGAACTTGTTCGCACAAGCAAGTGAAACCCCATCCACGCATGTGTGAGATCTAGGCAATGCACGAAACCACACCTCCCGGTCTGCATAAGAACCACCCTCTATGGAGCTGGTCCCTGGTGCCCCAAAAGTTGGGGGGCACTGAAGTAGAATCTTCCTACAGAGAAACCCTACTTTGGGGGGGGGGATTTTTAATCCTTTATCATTGAATATCTTTGTTGAGATTTTCTTAGAGTTTACTTTATGAGGCTATCTTGTAACTGTTCTGTTTTGATTTATTCTGCTTTCAGACATTAAGTGATACTTTCCAAAGGCAACATGAATGAAATAAATGAAGGTCTGTACTGAAGACAGAAAGCTGTTGGTACAGACTGGATGATCTACTTGTCTTCATGTTGTACCTTCTGAAAATCTTAATGCAAGATCCCTTTCAGTGCTGGTACGTGTCCAAGAACTGCACATTCAAGGAGTGCAATAATACTGTATAGTTTTTTTAAAGTAATTTAGCCAGTTCAGTTTTAGAAAAAAACACAGGTGTTACTTGATTACAGATTTTTTGCTTTGGATTAGATCCGGACTAAGTTGCATTTCAAACCTATTAAATTTAGTGTGGATTAAATGCAACCAGTGGAGTCTTGATCTAACTCTTTGTATTCATGTCTATTAAGGTGGCAAAATTTATTAATATTCTAATATTTTCCTGGAAAAAGTCTGATTTGCTTTATGTGGCCTTTATAGAATATTTGTAATTTAAAATCAATCTTGAGAAGTACTGGCTGTCTTTTAAACTGGTTTGGATAACTGATGGCTGCTGAACAATACTGATTTGGTTGTGTAAGTTTTGTATATTTTCAGGGTATATTGCTGAGTGAATGGTACATTATAAAACTAAATTATATAAACAAATGATATGCAGAGTAACTACCTTCTACGTCATGACTTCAGAAGACCAAGTGATGTTCAGATTCCCTCAACAATTTGAAGTCTGTTTCCTGGCCCAAATTGTACGATCAAGTAGTTGGCCTTTATGCTGTCATAAATATGAACTAAGTAAACTAATTTAAATAAAGAAATTTTATTTACTGTGAGTAAATCAGCTTAAATCACTTCATAAAGTTGTCTGAATAATATATTGAAGAAAGAAGCAAAAGCAATTTCATATACATTATGGATATCCTAAATCTCCCTTACATAATCTTTGGCAGTACTCAAAACTATCATATGAATCCAAAAGGCGATCCCAATTTCTTAAAGGATAATATTTTTAGACCAGACATTGAGGAACAAAAATATTTTTGAACTATGTGAACTTTTAATTTTAATTCATTGAAGAAAAAGTTTTCATTGAGTAAGTTTTTTTTTTAAAGTACTCTGGCTCCAGTCACAATTTTTTCAAGTGTGCTGCAGTCTCTATTTGTTCCCATGTTACCCTTTTGAGTAACTTGCAGTAACAAGTAAGGTTAAAAATGTAGAAAAAAGGGTTGTACTTTCCATCTATAATGTCCTCCATGTATATAGCAATAGCACTTAGACTTTTATACTGCTTCACAGTGCTTTACAGCCCTCTAAGCAGTTTACAGAATCAGCATGTTGCCCCCCAAAATCTGGGTTTTCAGTATAAACAGTTTTGAATTCAGAAAGCATATAATCATCTACGGACATAATTTCACTTGCTAAGTTGTGAATTTGCATAGCTTCTTATATGGGTTTAAGGTTTGTTTGAGTTCTTGTTTGGGGATGTTTTATGATTAGTTTTGTCATCTAAAATGGCACAAAAAGAAAAAAAATAGTATAATCTATGATAGTATCTTTCTAAGGCCAATCTAAAATTGGGATATTTTGATCTATAATTCTTTGCCTAACAGGATAATAAATAAATAAATAAATAAATGCTAATTTCAGGCTGTTTAAAGTCCTAGTAATAATCATCTACAAGTGTAACATCTACAAAGGTAAATCTTTCTTGTGTTAACTCAATATATCAATGGTATTTTTTCTGTGACGATACTGAAATGGTTTGCCATTGTGTATTTTGGAACTTGTTTGTGACTTTCTTGGCTTTTCATTTGGTTCTACAAGTACTAACCATATCTGATCAACCTAATTCTGTTGATAGCAAACAACACCTAGATACCTATTTCAAATTTGTCTCTTGTTATTTCTGGCAAATAAGTTAATTATTATTATATTGTCTTATTTGGAAGTCCAGGAGAGCACAACTTGCTATTTTGGTTGTTAATTATTACTCTTATGGTTAACCTATAATTGTAATTAAATGAACTTTTAGTTTAAAAGTTGGTGGTGATGAAGAGTTCCATTGTGGCAATGCAATAATTTCAGTATTATTATTGTTATTTGCATTATATGCCACCTAACTCCAAATGACTCTGGGCATCTCACAACTTAAAAACAAAGTAACAAATACACAATCAACAATAAATAACATGTAACATACTTAACATGGAAATCTAACCACCCTAGCTCAAAATCTGGGAATCTTAAGCTGCCAATTCTTAAGACTGTATGTTGCCACTGAACTTTTTCAAGTTTGTCTTTTATCACTGACATTTGGTCTCCCTATTCCAAAGTATAATGTGATCTTATTATTTAACATTGTTCAGTGGCATCTTCTGAAGAAAATAGGTTTCTACTCCCCCTCCTCTCAAATATCAATTTACATTAGGAAACATTCAGAACTCATGTGTGACAAAATTAGTTTGGGGTAGAAAATAAAGCTTTTCTTGCAAAAGGATATCTTCAAAGCAAAAGCATTAACATGCCCCCCCCCCCCCCCCGCCCCCCGATTTTTAAGAATAGAATAGACATTTTGCAGTAGCCCTACTTTGATAAACATCAGTTACAGGTAGTCCTCGACTTATGACCACAGTTGAGCACCAAATTTCTGTTCTTCAGCAAGATAGTTGTTATGTGAATTGTGTCTCATTTTATTACCTTTCTTGCCACGGTTGTTCAGTAAATTTGGCTTCTCCATTGACTTTGCTTACAAGGTCTCAAAAGGTGATCACATAACCCCAGGACTTTGCAACTGTCATAAATAAATGCCACTTGACAAGCATCTGAATTTTGATTATATGGCCACAGGGATGCTGCAACATCCATAGGTTGAAAAATGGCCGCAAATCGCTTTTGTCAGTGTTGTAACTTTGAATGGTCACTAAATAAATGGTTGTAAATTGAGGACTGCCTGTAGGGTTGTAACTATTAGTTCTGACTTCTTGCATAGTTGCACAAGCTTTACAGATACTTGTTTCTAATCTTATTATAAAATTAATTCCTTGTAAAAAGCTGTTTTTTATAATTTTTCAAAATTGTTGAAGAATTATGAGGTGCTCTCTGAACTTGATGGCCAGAGAACTTGGTTGTTTTCTTGCAGACATTTCATTATCATGCTAGCACTGATGATCTTATCAGTTTCGGTAATGAAACGTCTGCAAGAAAACAACCAAGCTCAGAGCCCAACGACCCCTCCTTTCAATCTGGGGCTACAAATATTACTCTTGATTGTAAAGAATTATGTTTTCAAAAATAAATTTCTGAAACATAAACACAATGAGTGGCAATACATCACACATTAATGAAAACGTGTTCGGTATTTTTGCAGTTATTTTTCCATATGTCTACAGTATTTTTAGTGGGTTTTTGAATGGGACAGTAATGAGATTCTTCCTCAGCCAAAAAAATCCAAACAACCAGCATGGAACAAGAACTAATTAAAAATATTTTAAAATATACAAAGAAACAATAAGAACAAATTTTGATGGGTATATTGATCCAACTCATTTCAGACTTCAAGTAATTTTATGAAAATCGGGCAGTTCCAATAATATATTGTTGTTTTTTTTAACATCTACTTAATTCAGTCATGATTTTTGTAATCCTTTTGGTTTTGTTTGGGTTTTTTCAGTATATGTGATGCCTACTATAAACTCTTTATCCATGATAATGACTTAGGTTGAAATACATTTGGGATTTTTGTCTTATTTTAAAATCAGGATTAAGTATTGCTTGGCATATATACAACTTATTTTTGTGTGATACGTTCATACATAGTGGGTGTATTTTAAAAAATTAGTGTACCATAACTTTTGTTGAGCTAATAACATACTTTCTGCATTCTCATATATATTTTGTTACTGCTATGAAAATTGCTAGTTTAATCATAGGATATATAGTAATGTATTTAGGTTGGTGTAATATTCCACGCTTATAGTTTATTTCATTCAGAATACATATCTTTTTCTCTTGTTCCAAATGGTTAAATCTCATCTCAGGGAAGAAATAAATAAATATATAAAGCTTAACTTCACTATAGCCAATCAGAATAGAATCTCTGCTTTTTTATATAATCAGCTTTATATTTTATTATATATCAAAACTGTTGGATTTCAATAAAACCTAAGTCAATACGGCTTAGGCCCATTTAATTCACTTTTATGTACATTTATTGTGTGTGCGGGGTTTAATCTCATTGAAAAATAACTCTGAAAGTACTCCACATTTACATGTACTGATATAGTGTTATAGTTTGTGACTTTGGAATGAAAATGTTAAATTAGGTGATGTTAACTGTATTAAGAATTTGACATTCTAAATATAAGATTTGTTTCCACAATTTTATTTTCATAAAATTGCTATAAATTTTAAATAATACAAGACACCCCATGATCTGTTGGTTCATTGTTTCAGAGATATTTCCATATCTAAACAGAACGACCAAGGTCAAAAACTCTGGGAGTGGGAGCAACTTTTCACTTCCTGCCAGTTTGACAGCGGCTGTCTGCTCTCCAGCAGTTGATGATGGGATTGGTCTACCTGGTATCTGGAGGGCTAGGGAAGGACCGTTCTGCTTGATCTCCAGTGGCCAAAGGAAGAATTGACTTAATTAGCCAGCGAGAGGGCTAGGGTGCAACTGGTCTACCCAACCTCCAGGTGGCGGCATAGCAGCACTGAAGCAACAAATTTGCCAAATCTCAATCCTGTGGAAATCATTTCAGATTTATACCCATTTTGTAATTTAGCCCCTTGAGCCCATGATTCAACAAGTGCTCTGTGATACATAATTTTTCCCAGTTGAAGTTATAAAACATGAGAATTTTAATAGTATATATATCATTTACATTTTGTTAGGATATTTCTAAAGTACATGATTGGCATGTTAAAGCAAGGCATCACATTGTTCAGTTTTGCCTGTAGGAAATAAATACATAAATATATTCCTGAAAATCTCCTCCTGCTAATTCTGCAAGATGTTGGTGCAGAGTTCACCAACCTAGTGGTTTCCAGATATACATTATAGCTCCTATTGCCCCTGCCACCTAAATGTTAGTGCTTACTGGCCAGAAGTGAAGATCTAATGTAGCACCTGTAGTAGGCACTGATTGTGGAAAGCTGTTGTGATTACTCTTAAAAACAAATGCTTCAAGCTATAAAAGCTCGACAAAGCTGTGTTAATTGCTTTGAAACCACCCAAAAGTACAGACTCCTTTAAATAGTGTTTGCAGAGCTATTATTGCATCTCTTTTGGTGGCCATTATGAAAAGATTGGTGATATCTATCTCAAAATGGCTGACATAAAATCTGAAACTGCAATAATCGTGAATTTAATAGAGGATACTGTTTGAATAGAGGATACTTTAGTGTTAGAATTAAAGACATACAGTAGCAGTCAACTAAATCTGTGCTTCTAAGCTATAAAATCCCCATTTGTCAAATGTGTATCCTTGTGTATTTGTTTCCCCTCTTCTTCGAGTTTAGGGAGCTAAGAATTCCATATAGACAGTTTTTCAGCTGATTTTTATTATAATTTATCATTTCTTATCACTTTAAGTTTAACTTTGCTTTATTAACTTTCAGATTGTAACATTAAAATGCCATACTACATATTAGAATGCATAATTTAGGGTCTTTTCTAAAAAAAAATCTGTTCTACTTCAAACTTGGTAGTTTTTTCTCATTATATCCTATTAAAATATTTCTAAAGTGCTGTAAATTCCAATTGTATCTCCCTTTGCTTATAGTTATTAAGATTCATTTTATAGGTTATTATTTGAGGGGCATGAGAAAAATGTTTTACACATTACATTTTATGTTGCACCTTCAACTTACATGCCACATCTTTCTTTTATATTTTATTTGATTGCTTCTTAGTAGTGTGCTTTATTTCAAGGAAATACTGTACTATATAATCTCTGCTAGCCAAAGAATGCTCATATGTACATTTCAGGCAAGGGAATTTTATCTCAACTCACTTTTCTCTGCACCATATTGTCATGTATTAAAAAAAAATCTCAGCCATTTCTTTCCGTAACTTTCCATAACAAAGATCCTGATTGACATTAACTTCTGATGCACCCCACTCTGCACTGTTCCTTCAATCTATTAGCTTATTCTCAAGGTCCACATTATTTAAAAAAAAAAGGGCTGGATTTAATAGATCAACTGTAAACTTCTGTCCTGATGATTAGAATCTGGAATCATCTAGGCTAATAGAAGATTTTTTTTTTTACATTGCATGAAGTACTTTCTAACTCTAAATGTATCACTTCAAAAATTGTTTGTTACTACAAGCTGCTGAATACAAGTCTCTCAAATAGCCTTATGTCAGGTAGAGATTTATAGATCATAATGAGCACTTGAATCATACCTGGAAGCACACTGGCAACAAGTGCGACAAGGGGTGTCAGATGGACCTGCCAAAGGATGCATTTGCAGTTATGATCATCCCATTGCATCTCTATGATGATGTGATTGCAGTTTGGGTGCTTGGCAACTGCTTTGTGTTTACAGCTGGTTACAGCATCCCGAAGTCATGGGATCACGGTTTATAAATTTTTGCCAATTTTCAACAAAAACATCCACTTGGGAAGCTGGATTTACTTAATGACAATGTGGGTTGTTGAACGACCATGTGGTTAGCTTAGCAACCATGGTGATTTGCTTAATAACCATTATAAAAACAGTCAAAACAGGTCTAATTTGACTTATGATGCAATAACGTACAACAGAAATTTTTCGTCCCAATTGAGGACTACTTGTAAATGTAGAAAATCTAGAAAATGTTATCTTCCCAATCATTCATTTAACAGTACCCTAGAACCCAGACAAGCTACAAAGCTTTTGCTCCAGTGATAGTTTTTTTAATTTACTTTTCAATTTTAAGTCCAATATCCATTCCTCTTACCTGGAAAAATTTTCTTTTCTTGGACTTCTGAAATAACTTAAGTTTTCCCAGATCCAACAGGCTAGGGATACCATGGAGACATTTTATCTGTTGGTTGCTTCCTCACATAAGATCATTTTAATGCATGGAGAAGACAAACAATCACACACCTTTAGATGTGTAATGGTAACTGATTGCAGTGTCTCTCTGTTTGTTAAAACTCCTTCCTTATCTTTCTGCATCAGAGAATTTTGTAAATAGAACAAATCTGCTTCTGCACTATTTGTGCGTCCCTTCCATTTCAGCCAATTAGTTGATTTTGTCTGAAGCTTTTAACTGGCAGAACTTTGATCCCCCATATATCTTCCGATATCTCTCTACAAAGCGAAGAGTATCATCAATTTTGCAAGAGAAACAAACCGACCACAAAGATGTTGGGACAGACTAGCCATCAGTTTGAAGAAAATCGTCTGTCCAGAGAGGATTGTAGCTACTAGGTCTTCACTTCTTGCTGTGACTAAACAGTTTGGTGATTGGAAAGCATGTTTACTACTGAAGACTTGATACAGATTGCATATGCAATGCGTATCAAAGCCTAATATATTTATCAGTTTACAGTAAACAAGATGTCAACTATTTATGCAGTGCTACATGTCATCTTAAGTATATTTATTCCATCTGCTAATCTACTGGTAATCATTGTCGTCTGTCGGTTGAAGAAGAAGAGATCAAGCGGAAATTATGTCTTCATCCTCAACTTGGCAGCTGCTGATCTACTTGTGGGTGTGATGTGCATTGGGGATGCCTTGGATGATGCAACAGATGCACTGTTTGATACAAATTTGGTTTTTTGTCTTATAAGGATCTGCATGGGTATTACTCCTTGTATTGGCTCTATTCTCACCTTACTCCTGGTTTCTCTGGACAAGTATTTGGCAGTGAAACTGCCGCTTCATTATCCCTCCCTTATGAGCAAGAAACGTGTAATCCTTTCTCTTGTAGTCCTCTGGGTTATCTCCTTTTTGGTAGGACACTTGCCACTTATTTTTTCAGGATTGCAGCAGAACAAATTGAAAGGCAACTGTGGGCTCCTGTCTGCTGCCAAAAGTGATTACCTCTACATAATATGTTTTGGCATTTTCATTCCTGCATTGTTGACCTTGGTGTATTTGCATATCTCAGTAGGAAGGATTGCCTATCTACAGCATAAGCAGATCCAGCGCTCTTGCTTGCATGCAGATATTCCCTCTGTTCATGTCTGTTACTTCAAAGCTCTAAGGACTATCATTGTGATTGTTTGCTTCATTGTATTTTGGGGCCCTTATTATGGGACTGCTATTGTGAAAGCTACCTGTAAATCCTGCAATTTGAGCCCACTGTTGAGGGATTTTTTATTCCTTCTAGGAGAAACCAATTCACTGATAAACCCATTTGTGTATTCACTGTACCACAAGGATGTAAGGACTGAGTTTGCTAGGCTGATGAAATGTAAGAGAAAAGGTCAACTAAAGCCATGTAAGTCTATTGATTTAGCAGTGGCTAATTCCAACTTTGGGATATGAAATGATTTATAAAATGGAAATCTGATCTAATTACTGCCTCTTCTCCCTTAAACAGTTTCTCAGATTATAGAACAGTATGTTGTTCAATCTACAGTGCAGAAAACTAGATAAGTACAGCTCTGATTAAGAGAGGCTTTCCTCCTCCATAATTTGGTTATTTGAAAATAATCAAAGATAGGTAAACTAATAAGTAAATATTGATGTAGTTTACCTGATGAAGTATTTTGAGAATGCAGTAGTAAATCTATTTGTTTTCATGTGGATCTTTTGGAAACTACTGATAATAGTCATAAATTGCATAATTGCTCCCAGTGTATTTTTGAATATGGTTTAAAGGATTGACATCTATGTTCAGTTTTTTTAAAAATTAAATCTGCAAACACCTGAAGTAGGTATGTATTTAAATCCCTTTCTTTAAAATGAGTTAAAAGCTCAATAGTCATTGAGATTGTTTAATTTCAGAACAGTTCCAACAAGTATAAATTCAAATTACTTGAATATCTCTGGATCTCACTTAAACCTTTAATTTGTGAACTAGTCCATGAGCAAAAAAAGTAGATTTTCAGCCTTAACCACTCTTGGCATATGAAAATCAAGACTTCTATGAGAACTTTTCTGTAGTACTTTGTTTAGAAAACATGTTGTATTAATTAAGTCACACACCGATTAGCGCCTCTGAAATGTAGCATTAACTATGTGAGACAATTTATCCATTTCTGTGATTGTGAATTTTCTTCTATATGAGGTCCATTTATACTATCTGGTTCTGCTTATTTAGGTCTACTACTTCAGAAAACATTTAGGACAAGTTTATTACTTGATAGGCATATTTTGGAGTGAACTTTTTCATTGTTGTGTCCTTTGCTATTTTATGTTTTCATTCATATAATTTCCTTTTATTAGTTAATTTCCTAAGAATTGCTTTTGAGCAGTTTTTAAGTATATATATATAGATGATAAAATAAACTAGGATGAAAAAGAAAGAGCCTCTGCAAATTACACTTAGATAAAATATTGAACTTCGCATACTAGTGTGTCCTACTCAAAAATAAATCACATTGATTTAAATGAAGTTTACATCTAGGGAAGCATCCATAGGAATATAAAGTATTTATTTTGATGCATAATTTTACTTTTGTAGTGCTTTACTAATATAGATTTCTTGGTAGAGTTGATGAAAAGAAATGGAAAATGGAAAATAAGTAACGGCCATCCCAGCTTCCCTTTTAATTATATGTCCTACCACTTTTGCTGCTGTTTTACCATATTACTCAATTACATTGTTTTAATTCCTGTCTGCTCCTTGGAGGGTATAATTTATTATAAACATCTGTTTCTAATAGTCCATTAACTCATAAAAGGAAAAGGAGAGATCAGAAGATAAACAAGAATTCACATACCATTTTTGTCTAAAAATTGGTTTGTAAGACAATGCCTTGATTGAATGACAGTAATAGCAATAGAAAGTGCTTCTATAAAATCATCTATAAAATTGAGAAATCATCACTACATATACACATAAATGGAATTTACCTATGCTAATATAACTATTACAAGTCATGAAATAGGCAAAGATGCATTAGGTATTTTCCCTAAAGATGGAGATGAACCTGAGTAACAACTGGGTGATTTGATTTCAGACAGTGGGAACAACAAATCTTTTCCAGCAGCTTTTACAAAACTTTGATGTAATCTGAAAATATGACAGTGGCTGGTAAAATCTAATTCCATCCAGATTGTAACTAAATGCAAGCCAGTGGCTTGAGCATCCTCTTCCTCAGCCCAACCATTCTGTTTTATTTACTATCTTGCTTAAAGAGGTGTGGAGAAACAAAAACTACAGATGAATTATGTAAGTTAGTATAAGTATGGCCTTTAAAAGCTTATGATTTTTTTAACCATAGCAAAATGAATCTAGAGTTTTATGAATAGTTATTGAATCCTATGGCATATAATTCAATTTTCTTATTGAAGTTTGCTTCATATTTATATTTTCTAATGCGACATAGAACATTCAAGAAGATACCCATATATAGTGTATTTTATGAATACATAAATATTAAATACAAATAAATTTTCTTACGGAATTCAACAGATGAATAAATATTAAATATTTTAAACAAGAAAGTGACTAAGACTCTTCAGTCAACATCAATCAACTATCAGCTCTTGATCAAACTGGTGATTTTACTATTGCCATTATTAACTTATCCAGAGAACAGCCTATTTCACATTCTTTACAAAGATGTATTAACTTCGAAGTCTGTTTCAAAAGAAATGAAGGGAGCTGCAGTTTAGTCCACCAGTCACTGGCAGGAAAGTCTAAATATCTATTCAGTTTAGCAAAGATGCGAAGAATTTTTAATCTATTGGCGAAGAGCAGAAGGTCATCTTCAGCTACGTACTTTGGCCATGGAAGGTGTTCAGCAAGTGGCTTTAAGAAAAAAAAAGTTAATTCAGTCAGCATAGGAATGAAAGTAATGTTGCAATTAATTTAAATTAGATAAAATGGCTATATAGATTATGTTGGAAAACATTAACTTGATCAATTTTGAATAAAACTTTAGTTTTTGTATTTCTCTAAAGATTTTCTGTTCTCCACACAACATTCCATGCCTTGCTTAATTGTAACTTGTAAGGATAGATAAACATTAATTCCTCTGACATGTACCTGCACTTTGGTTCCTACATTGATTTTTGCTTGTTTTCCCATTGCAAGAAAAGAAATGGCAATTTTATCTTGCCCGAGTATCCTGACACCAACATTAAGGTTCAAGGACAGAAAGATAGGTTTAAATGATACACGGGGATTGTGCTTCTGTAGATTGTTGGGCCAAATCCATTTTTTCACTTTGTTGCCAGCCTGATCTGAGTAATGTCCTCCTCGAATTGTAATGTTTATCCTACAAGGAAGAAAAATAAACTGACTGTATATTTGAACCACAAATCTTAACATATCCTATATAAAAATTACGAAGACAGGCTCAGCTCAGTTATGATCTATCTGATTCATTTGCCTCATTACTCCAAGCAAATACATAAAAAAGGACCTGTAATTTGTAATAGTTTCCAGAATGGCAACTAAGTTAGCCCATTATAATAAAAACAGTGATGCTTTTATTTGTTAAAACATAAGCTGCTTACACGTATTTAGTTGATAATAAGTATGGAGTTTAAATAAACATACAAATTATATTAGGGGAAAGTAAATTAAAAGCTAAGTTTAGTGGACAATAAAATGCAAGATACCGAGAATGTGACCATTTACAAAAACAATTGTAATTAACACAAATCATGCTAAGTAATATTGCTAAACCACGGTTTATGCTTTGGCATGAGAAGACTGAATTTACATGTCTTCTCTGACAATAGCAGGCAGGGGTGCCAAATTTATGGCCCGTGGGACAGATGCGTCACGTGCTGGCCCCGCCCCTGCCTGGTTTAGCAAAGGGGATGATGATGCTGTGACAATGTGATTTTGACACCCCTGCAGTAAAGCAACATGATGTTAGCAACCACACTTTAGAAATGACTAGCAATTTTATAATTTTTGCAATTTCAAGGAAAAAGCTAGTGAAAAGAAAATTACAGCATGATGAATTTACCATCTATCACTTAGAAATAGTTGTATTTTCTACAACTTGAGCATGGTTCCAGTCACAAAAGAATGTTTCTAGTAATACTGCATATGTTGAAGTAATGGAAATCCTACCCATTAAATATTTAATAAAAATATGAAATAAAAAATCCACAGCAAAAAATGAAAATTTTCTCTATAATTAACTCACCATACAATTTGGTTTGGATGATAACAAGTTCCTTTCCCACAAGAGTCAAATACTGCCTGGATTTTGGGCTTCTCACACTTATCTTCTTGGACTATACAAATGTACCCTGCATTTTCATTCTGTACAACAATAATTGCCAGATTTCCAGATGGATAGCTGTACATGTAGCTAAGGTTTTTCCCCCTACTCTCTTACTTGTTAGACATGCTAGCTCAGATGTATGAATGGTATAGTAAATTTCTGACTGTGGGGAAGGAGGGGAATCTTGGTTAACATCCCTTTTCCCCATATGTTACCTGCAGTTCTTGAATTCATTCCTTGGTTCTATTTTACTGATGTAAGTATGAATCTTCCCTGTCTAGACAAGCAACAAATAATCTTAAACAGAATAGATTTATCTGCCTTAGAAGTAGAACTTTTATTATTGTTTTGTACCAATATCAAAACTCCCTAATTTTGCGGTGGTACAGCAGTATGGATAATAGTACACAAGGAAAATGACTACTTCACTAGGGTGTATCTCACTTATAAAACAATACAGTACTTTGTATGTCTAGAAATCCAAGTTTGCCAACATTTTGATTACAAAATAAAATGTGGAACCATTTCCCAGCTTGATTCAAGGGGCTGATCTTGGTCTTGTAAATCACTTAAGGCAGGGGTGTCAAACTGGTGATGCGCATCAGCTCCATGAATGGGAAAAAAGTTGCAAAACATCACATGATGAGAATGTGACATGGCAAGTTTGACACCCATGACTTAAGGGTACAAGACACAGGTAGTTCTCAATTTATGTCTAGTCACTTAGCAATCACTTGAAATTATGACAGGCCCAGAATGGGTGTTTTATAGCCTGTAAAGCATTTCTGGACTTTGTAAAACCTCACATTCCTTCTCTTGATCATGTGACTGCATTTTGAGCACTTGGCAATTGCTCACCCGCCCAATCGATTGCAGCATCCTATGGTCAGGTGACTGATTCGTTTTTTTTCTGATTTCTGGTTAAAAAACCACTCATTTGAAACAATGGGCTTACACTTATGACTGCAGTGTTTGCCTAAAAATCCCAGATTTGCTTAACCATTGCAGTAATTTGCTTAGCAACCATTATAATATTGTAAAAGTAGATACAGTCACATGGGTGCCTTATCTTATGACTGAAGTGATTTACGACCAAAAATCTAGTCTCAATTGTGATTGTAAGTTAAGGACTAACTACTGCAGAATGGTAATATTACAAGAGACCCAGCCCAGCCTTTCTCAGCTTGTCCTCTCCCCATTTGGATGGATGAAGATCCAAAATCAGACTTTCAGCCATGTTACTTGGGGAATTCTGGGTGATGAAGTCAACAAAGCTGAATGGCTCCAATGATGAAAAAGGCTACTTCAATGCATTCTACTGCCTAAATCATGTAACAGGCTTTGGTAAAACACAGTGCAAAAATGGAAAAAGTGTTTAAAAGTTGTATTAAGACCACTTTTAAATGCATTTCCATTTTTCAGCAGCAGGAAAGTTTATGATTAACTCTATGGAGGAGTGTTGGTGTTGGTGTATGTGTGTGTATATGTGGTATCTCTGTAACTGTCATCTGCATTTTTGTCAGGCAGAATCCACGATTCCAGAAAGCATGTAGTTGTGAAAAAAAGAATTTGGATGTGGGAGGGTTGCTTCTGTTTTGCTGAAAACAGTTAGCTCCCAACACTGGACTCTTATGGTATCAGAAATAGGACAAGAGAAATAAATAGGCAGACTTTGGTACTGGATTATTGCCTGTGAAGTTGTAGTCTTGTATAGTCTTATCTCCAACCCCCAAGAAGGGATCCTATGAATGTTCTGCTTATGGTGCTATAACATTATTTTCTATCTTAGGCACTTTAAGATGTGAGGACTTTATCTCTTAGAACACTAGGAGTTGGTTCACGTATCTTAAAAGATGCCAGGGATGAGAAGCATTACATTAGAGGTTTAATTGTTGTAGGTCAATGCATTTTAGACATTCAAATCTTAACTGTGGTGACTGTTGTATATTAAAGTGGCTATATTTTAAAAAATGTCACCACCAAGCATAGCAGGGACAGAACATTAGTTGTGTTTGTCATTCTGAAGACCTTAGTTGCAGATTATTTTGCTGCAGCCCACTAATTCTGATCAAGTTCAACTGAACAAAAGGATACAATATTTGTGCAGTGCCGTCCGGAAACATGGTAAGGAACTTCACACCATTTTTGTAGTACTGTTGTATGAACTGGTTTTTCACCAACTATTGATGAAAAAAAGAACAACATGGAGATTTAAGTTTCCCTATGGAACTCAAAAGAGAAAGGCAAGATACTGAAAGAGAGAACAATAAAGTTAATATACAAAATGGAGTTAATTAGAAATCTAGTTTATTTTTACCAAAGAGCCATGGTGCATTATATGCTTTGCTATAGATACATGTATGTTATGTAGAAAAAACAGATAAATCTGAGTATGGCAACAACTAAATGACAAGCTTAAATCAAGAAAATGAGCAAAAGAGATACAGCTTTACACTAAAAATTAAATTTACAGTCCTATTTTTGTCTGCAGTGACCAGCAACGTCAGTCTGACTCCCAAGCACATTGATACCATAAAGATACCATAAAGATTGGGAGGTATACCGCTTTAATTTGGGAGGAGAGAAAATGAGTGGGGCCCATAACAAATAAAGCTTTTTTTTTTTTTGGCCTTGTACTTTAGACAAAGTATTCTGAATTACAATTCCCATTTGAAATGGATTGTTTTGGTTTCTTATATTCAAAGGTTAGTTACACACCCATGTCCATGAAATGGGTTCACCATTGCGTCAAGTGCTATTTGCATTCCTTAATTCCTGGACAAATCCTGTTTTTTAAAGATTGTAATATCAATGTCATAAAAAGAAACTATTGACTATATAGTGAAAATAATGCTACATTTACTTCATCTTTAAAATTCAAATTAAGTGATCCTAGCCTTTCCTTGGTATTAATCCCACATCTAATTGACATGGATACATTAAGCACATTGCTTTGAAAGTTTAGCCCTCAGCTCTAAAAAAGAAGTTGCATATTTTTATGCTGGAGATGTAAATTACATTTCATTTCATTACATTTACAAATTCAAAAATGTTACATTTCATACATACAGATATTCTCTACTATTGCAATTCAAAAATTGCTTCTACTGTGTAAAATCATTTATTTACCTTTCCACCTGCAATAGTGAAATCACAGCAAGAGATGCTGTATGTATTGTCCAGAATCTCTGTTTCTTTAACTACTTGTGGATAAATTATTGCTGAAGGTGTCTCTTGAGATAGGAAGAAGGAAATTGTTTTAAGCTGTTTATTGTCTACAAAATAAAATATTAAACAAGAATTAAGTGGTGATTTTTGACTTAAAAGGAACAAGCAAACTTACTTTGTTGGATTTTTAGTGATCAGCTAGCAACATGTAAGATTGTACCTAAGGTATTGTTAGTGGAAAAAATATAAGTGGCATTTTTCTTGTATAGTATTGTTTTGTTTAATTGTCACAAGTCTGGATGAAGTTGACAACATACCCATCCAATAAATAATAACAAAGTGGTATTGGCTAGTCTGGAAGTGCTGATATCACCATACATTCAATAAATTTTGCCAGCAGAATTCAAATATTGGATCTGATAACTTTACCGTAAGAGATTCATACTATTAGAGGAAACTATTTTTAATTTGACTGGATATTTATTAAAATCCTGTCCTTCAGTAGGAAGATAGAGACTTGCTTTCAAAACAAAACAATTTAATCAAATCAAGCACTTCAAAATTATAGCAAACTATTGCGACATGTAATCAAAATCAGAATTAAAATTTACAATTAAGATAAAGCAACAGTAAAACTAATAAAGCACCCATTTATATATGTTAACAAGGGGATACTGGTTTAGAAACAAGGGGTCATGAAGTCCAGTATCTTACATAAAGAAAACCAAGAGGCTTCGAGCAAAGTTCCAGGAATAACAGAACAGCCCTAATTCTTTGGTGCTGTTGCTATCTCAGCAATTATATTGCTGAAAATGGCATCATCAAAATTAATAGTTAGTGATATCACCCAGGTTTTCTCTTTTAAAGACATATGTAGTAGGGTTATGATTCCATTTAACAATGAAACCAAATATCCAAAAATGTGAACATCCTTCACTGGATGAATTAAAGCAGAGACTTGGCAGCTATCTATCTAGAATACTTTAATTTGTATCCTAAAACAAAGCAGATGATTGGATTATAAATGGCTCCTTTCAATTCCTTTGATTAGACAATCTTCTAGTTCAGTGACCCCCCCAAAATGTTTGGGCTCCATGGACTGATTCTGTGAAGACAGGTTTTTCAGTGAACTGGAGGGGACGTGGTTTCATGTGCTGCCTGCATCCTGGGGATGGGGCTTGGCTCGTTTGCATGGCCCGGTTTCTGTCATTCCTCAGATTGGTGCCAGTGCCAGGGACCGGAGTTTAGGGGCCCCTGTTCTAATCTACTGTTAATTTTGTAGATGGAAATTATTGGAGAACATGCTACAGATAAATGTTTCCTTTGTGTAAAATTGAAAACAATTGTTCTCATTTTCTATACACACACAATTATTTTCTCGTTGCATTATAAGCAAAGTTGTGCTGAAACTCTGAGATCCATATGGCTCCCATCCTGAAGCAGTTCTAGAAGGCCTTAAAGATCTGCCTACAGATAGTCTTCCACGTACAACCATTTGTTTAGTGACCAAAGTTACAACAGCACTGAAAAAAGTGAGTTGTCACCATTTTTCCACACAACTGTTGCAGTATCCCCAGGGTCCCATGATCAAAATTGAGACACTTGGCAGCTGCCATGTATTCAAGTCGATGGGGAAGCCAGATTCACTTAACAAGTGTGTTACTATCTTAACAACAGCAGTGATTTACTTAACAACTGTGACAAGCAAGTTCATAAAATGGTGCAAAACTCCCTTAACAACGGTCTTGCTTAGGAACAGAAATTTTGGGCTCAATTGTGGCCGTAAATTAAGGATTAGCTGTATTTACCCAGGCCTTGAAGTAGGGGGAATGATCTTCTCCTCGTGTTTTCTGCTCGCTATATTGTTGGGATAATTTTGTGATTATTTTGCATTTCTGGTAGTTCTTTTTTTTATATTTTGCTGTTTCCATTTTTTTTTTAATTACTGTGATCTGCCCATATTTAGGGGTCATCAGATCAACCAAAATTAATAGATTCATGAGAGCCAATATGCTGCAGTGATGAAGGTAGTGGACTAGTATAGAGGAACCTAGGTTCCAGGCTACCATCAGCTTTGGAACTGAGTAACTTTAAGCCAAAGTTTTGATATGCATTTGGTTGATTCTTCTTTATGAGTGAATATGGGATAAGAATCATTCTTCCTTCTGTGCATAGTAACACAAACATAAATAACAGTGGAATAATCCAACTTACATTCAGGGATGTGTATTGGAAATGCACTCCTTTCTGCTTCTACTGCCATGAAGGCAATTTGTTTTGCCATTTGTCTCTCTTTGAGTCTGCAACATTAAAATATGCTGGGTGTCAACTTTTTAAAAAAAATCTATTTGTTACAGTTCTCTGTCCCCTACTCAAACAACTCTAGGCAGCTTATAACCGGCATACATTAAAACATCCATAACATCAAATTAACAGCTTTCAAAATACCTGTTGTGATCATCTATTAATTTTTTCCCCTAAATGCCTTCTGGAAGGGAATGGTTTTAACCTGCTTCTAAAGGATAATAGATGGGGACCAGCTTAACCTCAGTAAGAAAAGTGGTTACAATGTGAGTGGGTTGTCAGTGAGAATGCCATATTTCAGGTCCCTGGGCCAACCCCCCATCTCTGTAGGGCTATGTACCCATGGCAAGATTATACTGTAGGTAGTGAGGTTGAACCCATAGAGTTTTTATGAGTTACAACCTGCAATTTGATTTGGGCCAAAATGCCTGCTGCGAGCCACTTCAGTTCTTGAACAGAAATTATGTTACTAAGTTGGTTGGTGCTGTTCAGAAGGCATTGCATTTTGTGCCAACTGCAGCACCCCCTAATTCAGGAACAGATTGGCAAGTTTGATGAAGCTAGATCAAAACTTCCTTGGGTGTGATTTCTACTCGATATTCCACAGAATCTGCGAGAACTAGGAGAACCCCAAAATTGCAGGTCAACATGGAGCAATATATGGAACTGTAGGATTTCAACACTATCTTGCTAGAATTAAATTTTGTTCTGTTTTGCACATCTCAACCTGGATCAGGACTCTCTACTGCTTTTCCTGCTGAGCCTCAGTTCAAAATACAAATCTTGCTATGGTATCATCAGGATATTAGACCCCATGTTGGTATAAAGAAAAAAACTGAATTTTGCAACATCTGATCCAGGAGTGGCCAAAGACTTCATGTCTTCTTCCCTAGCAATGCTCTAACAGCTCTAAATGCTCTTTAGCTCTTCTCATAACTATGTCTAGAAAAAATAAGCTCTTCTACTTTATCTTTTTCCCCTAACATCTTTTAACAACCCTGATCATTAGAGTTTTACTATATGCATAAGACTGATGAAGCATTAATTAATTAGAACAGTTCTTCTGCATTAGTAATACCTATATAAACCCAAGAATAGGGACTCGTAGGTAAGTTAAAGATGTTAATGATACGACTACTCATGTACATTCCTCCAAAGTGTCTTTACTGGATTATGCGACCTCCCACTTAAGGAGGAGATATGGTTAAAGTTTCTTAGATGTGCATCCTAAAAGTGACAAATTGCAGGATCCCAAGGTCTATATCTTGTATTAAGCTAGAGAGTCATCTTCCTTTTAGGTAACTTTTGGAGAGCTCATTTAAACTTCAGGGAGAGAAATTAGAAATTTTCTTCCTCTAAGACTTCCTTAACTCATGGTAGAATACAATCCAATGTAGGTGGTACATTTCCTTCCTACTTCCTTTCTTGCTGCTTGCACTGTGATAGTTTAAAGTGGTCTGTTTTGTGCGGTATAATAGCTAGCTAATTTTAAGCTGCATACTGTATAGCAGGGATGTCAACCACGGTAGCATCACATCATGTGTGAGGGCTTTTTTCCCCTTCACTAAACCAGGTATGGGGCAGCATGTGATGCATACGGCCCGTGGGCCAGGAGTTTGACAGCTGTGTTCTGTAGATTGCACATCCAAAAGTAACTTTGATTTCATTTAAATTAAAATTAAACAGAGTTATTAGTCTTCAGCTGTGTAATTAGTAATTTTCCTTCTGTCACACTGTACATTCAATTTGGTATCAACTTCTAGAGACCTCTGCAGGAAGGATGAAAAACTTTCAGAGGTGCAGGTAGTTCTGAGGTACCAGATTTCAGTGTTCCCCCAAGCCCTCTTAAGGACTCAAATATGTATCACCCCAGTTTGCCATACCTTTGTCGAGCTCTTTCTTTTGCCCGTTCTCGGTCAGCTTGACTTCCATGGGCCTTATGAGGGGCAACATCAATCTTCTCCATTCTCTTTTGATAGCGATTTTTTTCACTGACAATGAACTCATGAAGCTCCCGGCATTGCTGGCAACAGAAAAACTGGAAAGCGAGATCCCGCTCTTACCAGCTGGACAGGTGAACCTTGGACCCAATGGAAAACCACGTGGTGAAATTGCTCTCGTTACTTACATTTCCCCATTCTGCTATGTGTTCCAGACTTTCAAATGAAGGGAAGTATTTTATGGGGCTTCCACAGAATTCACAGGTTTCTAGGGCTTCCTTCGGAACCTGCAGAGAAGAAGGCGGGGGGAAGGCATTTTGGAAAGTTTTACAACAGTTATCGAGACAAAAATTACAGGATTTATAGCCTGGGTTTCTATTTTCTCATTGCAATCCAATTATCAATAGAGGGCACAATTATACAGACTAGAACAGTCTCCCCTAAAATACTCCATTCTGGCTCCCCATGTTAGAATGTTCTGACTCTGCAAGGGGAGGTTGCTATTGTTGTTTCTCATCACTGGTTAGGTGAAGTAGTGACATTTGAAAGTAATGCAAATTTAGAGATCACTTTGGGGTGTTTCAGTCAGTTAAAGGATATTAAGCTTTTTTGAAGCTCAGTGTTGAAACTGACAACCACAAAAGAGCCACTGAATATTGAGAAGCAAGAGAGCTCTGGAGATTGCAAAACGGACTTGTGGGCTGCTTGCAACTTATTCTTGCTGGAGGGAAACCTATCAGATGGATGTGGGCCACTATTTTGCTCTGTGCCCACGCTTCTACATCACCCTGGGATTTCTTAGCTGGCCTGCTTTGGAATCCAGGGTTGGGTTTTTTTCTCAGCTGAAATACAACTAGAGTAAAAAGTGACCTGCCTTTTTATATATACAGTACTTTATACGTTTTTTCCCAACCTGAATGCCTTTTACGGATTTGAATCTTAGCTCCTAAATTTCTCAGCAAAGGCCATGCTTATTGAGAGTCAACAAGTATCTAGCTTGGAAAAACCAATCTTTAAATATAATTGTTTTATATAAAATTACAGAAAAAAATGTGCTTCTTTGTATGTTCTATTTCAATTAAGTGCTTGCCTTTATGCCTCATATGCAATTGATGTTACCAAACACAGTTTACCCATATCGTTAATGTCATTGAGCTTGTACAGGAAGTGAGATATTCTGATCAAAGTCTATTATTTTTTTGCAGCCACCTTCCCTTTGCACTAGCATGATCCTGTCATGGATGGGACTAGAAGCAGAAATTACAGAAGATACAGAAATTATCCCATTCCCGTATCTTCTTGAAGCAAAACACAAAATATATACATGTGCATTTTATTAACACAGATATAATACATGGGAGGGATAATTAGAAACTGCACATATATTTTGATATAAAAACACTCTTCTCAGTCACAGATTACTATAAACATCTTTGAGTAAACAGGGCCATAAAATTATCCGGATACAACAGTAGAGTGGGCAGCTCAAATAACAGATGACTGGGGGAGTGGAAAGAGCCTCATTTTAAAGACTGGATTAATACCAGTGCCTGAAGAGTGATGGCAGATTGGGCATTAACATTTTGGTCTTCATTTAAAAGCAATGGTATTGGAAAATGAGCACCGATTTGGGCTTTGCAGTGTTTCTTGGAAGGAGGAAAAGAGATTGTAGAATCTTAAGGGTATCACTACTGTAAATAAATCAGTGGGAGGTAATTTTAAATTTGAGAGAATTGTCATGAATGATATATAGACCACGTGTCCATTAAAAGTTTAAAAGACTGGCCACCTTATTTACTCACAACTAGAAGGACTGAGAATTTCATTTACTTAACAAATGTGAAATTTAAAGAAAAGTTGAACGGGTGATTGGAGAAAACCACAAATATGAGTTGTCACATGGATGACGCTGGCTTGTCCTGTAGTAAACAACACTTAAAGTATATGAAAGCAATCCTGCTGTATGGGAAGGGTGCAGGGGTGGGTTTCAAAAATTTTAGCAACAGGTTCTCTGCCCGGTTGTTGGGTGGGCGTGCCATAGTGAGCGTGGGTTATCTGGCCTCCTGCACCACAGCAAAGGGGAGGGAGGCGTTTTTGCTCTCCCCGGGCTCTGGAGGCTCTCTGGAAGCCAGAAATGGGCCCATTTTTGGCCTTTCCGAACTTCCGGGAGACCCGTTTTTCACCCTCCCTGAGCCTTTGCACGTGCCCTGCAGTCACCTGAATCCAAAATGGCCCGCGTGAGGACTCCTGGGAGGGGAGGGGTGGGCAGGGCCAGCCAGGGGTTTGGGGGTTCTCCGAACTGCACAGAATCTTAGCTAGGGGCTCTCCTGAACCCCTGTGAAGCCCCAGCAGCCCACCCCTGGAAGGGTGGTGGAGAAAAACCATTTTGTGCTTTTTCATCTCTTATTTCTGCAATTTCCTTGGAACAGGTGGTTTAGGCAGCTGTGCACCACAATCACTAAGCATCATTGCTGCTTTTTTGTTCTTACCCCCAGCTGTTTGAGATGTAGGAAAAAACCTTGCTTTTCTTTCTCCTTTCTACAGGGATTAAAACGAACTGTAATTGATTCATTTTGCAATTTCATTAGGGAACTTAAAGGCAACTGGCTTTTAAAAGCTGTTAAAGGATAACAAGCAAAGCAGTGAAAGGGAATACGATTCTCCTCAATCCCATATTCTAAGAATGAATTTGCCAATATTATCCAAAACACACATCTCTTCTATCTCATTTTGTTTGTGTATCTTAGGGCAGTGGTTGCCAATCAGTGGGCCAGGGACTACTGGCGGTCCATGAGAAAATTTTGGTGGTCCGCAGAGAAATGTCACCCCCAGAGCAATTAATCCAGGCTGCGTGGGACCACAAGGCTGTGCCGCCCACATAACCCATGGGAACACAAGGCTTGCATCACTTGCAGTGTAAACAACACGAGGTAGTGAGGGGAGGGGGGAAACGGGGGAGGGGGGGAAACTTGTCCCACTCACCCCGCACCCCTCTCCTGGCCACCGGGCTGCTTCTTTGTTCTGCTTTTCGCTGCATGCAAGGAAAGCAGCAAAAGTCTTTCTTTCTCTCCCCCAAACTCTGCCAGAGTTTGCTCCAAGAGGCTGTGCCAGCACAGTAAGTCTCACAAAGACTCATTTCTGGTGGAGTTTGGGGGAGAGAAAGAAAGACTTCTGCTGCTTTCCTTGAATGAAGCCAAAAGTCTCTCTCTTTCCCCAAGAACAGAGCTGGAGACGGTATCCTGCAATCCCAAATAAAGAATGATCAATTGGTAGGAAAATGGGGTGGGGAATTTTCCTGCAGACTTTTTGGGGGATTTTCCCAGGGTCTCTGGTCTGTAGGATTTAAAATTATGAGTTTGGTGATCCCTGAAGTCCAATAGGTTGGCAACCCCTGTCTTAGGGTAGTTACTTAAGCTAGTCTAAAATCTTAAATATAATGTAATCTTATGGAGATGTCAGACTGGTATAACTATTTCTTTCTTCAGAAAACATAAAGTTTAATCCTCCAAGGTAAACTGAACATAGGATATATTTGAATGATTCTTTCCTCAGCAGAAATATCTATGGGAAACTGGAACTTTGAGCAGAATACCAGTGAAAATGGAAGAAAAAGTTAGTCTCCTTAAAATCTCTCCTAACCCCCTGTTTCATCCTCCTTCTCCAAAGTGCTCTTCCCTATCCAGGAGGAAAGGGAAATGATAAAACACGTTGCCCATTTCAGTAAAGAATAAGAAGTTATAAATTTACAGTGCAAAGTAACGCATAGGAGATAGGTGGGTAGAGCCATTACCTCAATGTGAATATCTGCTCTTGATGACTCTGGTCTATAAGCTAGAATAGTAGGTGGGCCAACACTGGAAATTGTCTGCAGAGATTCTTGAAACAGTTTTAAGAAGTCTTCTCTAAACTTTAAAAAAGAGAAAAAAAAATCATCACAAACCTCAAACCACTTGTCCAGAGTATTTCTGCAGCACCACTGCACAATAAATCACCTCCATTTTTATTTAACTGTGAGAGACTGGAATAGGAAAGGAGATAGGTAAACTAAAATGAAAATAGGTTCCAATAAATTGTATAGAGACCACTTATGATCAATACCTCTGTGTCGCATAAAATTTCTAAGCAGCTGAGATCTTGGGACACAACATCATAGAAATCTAGGGATCAATAAACAATTAGTTAGGAAAGGATATGTTCTCCTTTATGAACTGAATCTTAAAGTAATATATATATGGTTCTCATTTAACTTGGATACTTAAAAACTGAACTCAGGCAACACATTGTATTATATCCAAATTAACAAAACACCATGACTGTTAATATAGTAGACTTTCCCTGCCAAATCATATTATTACATCATGTGATGGTCTGGTTGGCCTAACGTTAATTCAATATCTAGAATTCCACAGCATGCTGAACCACAAATTTCTCAATCAGATTAGCATGTGGTATATATTCAGCCAGTGGAATTCTAAAAAACAAAACAAACCTAACTGTAAATATGATTCTTAGATTCCCAGCAGTCTTCCTTCAAATTGGTGCTCACTGGACATGCAGAGATTAGCACTCTCAGCATTGTAGGGCTAGTACATTTGGGGCAGCAGTCTGGGTAGAATTAGGCTGGAGGAAAACTACTACATTTTAAGAAGAGCGGGATCGTTCTGTTTCTAGAATATTATAAAAATAGCGCATATAATTCATAGAATATACAGCTAGTTCTCATTTTGCAACCACCTCAGATTGCAATGTTCAGTTACAACAGAGATGAAAAAGGAATTTTCAATCAATGCCCACATTTACCATATTCACGATGATTGTCAGTCGTATGTTTACCATTACAAGCAGTTAATACTATTGTTCAATTCCTCACCTGTTTTTTCCTCTCCTCCCTACCTTGCAGAGCAGAGAGGTACCTTTTCCTGACCACCTTTTCCCATAGTGTCCATGTTTGTAAGAAGTGTTAAAGAGCAAGTTAATAAACTCAGCTAATTAAGGTAACCTTAATTAGTTGATTAGAGACTGCTGCAGACACTGACAGGAACCTAGTCCATTTCACACTGAAGGGCTTTCTTTTGCCTCTGAAGCTGCTAAGGCAAACCGCCAGTGCTACTGCATTGCTTTCAATGTGTATTCCTGTTATGTATCTATTCTCTTGTAATTTAGGAAAGCTAAAGTAAAATCATGAGCACAGTCATGTGATTTTCACTCAGCAACTGCCCTGCTTAATGACACTCATCAGAATCAACTGTGGTCAGTAAATGAAGAATAGCTGCAGACCAATCATATCTCATAGCTTTAGGTTCAATCAGAATGACTGTCCTCTCTAAAAGTTACATTTCCATAATGAATTGGCAAAAGCGATATGCTGAAATAGAAGCCAAAACTTAAAAGAGAGCCATATATAGACATTACAGCGCTAAAAAAATTGCAGCAAAGCCTTTATACAATGAAAAAACAGAGAATCTACCAGCAATGATCAAAATGCCTCTGCTTTCAATGGAAATTAAAACTAAGATGTCTTTAGCAGCTTAGTGACTAAAGAGCAATAATATACCAAATGTACAGTCAGTCTGATAGCTCACTGATACCAGTAAGAATCTGTGGATTCAAAAAGTATAGAAATACAAATTATTCTCAAAATGAATAATAGATGTTTTGGGGAGACACTTACCAGTCTTGGGAGGAACCTCTTCTTGTTGCTCCTTTGGAGCTGAAAAGGGAGCTGAAAAGGGATAAAAAGCAGCCCAATTCTATCAACATTCTTTTTTTCTTTTGAAAAAGATCAAAAATAGGTTGCATAGAAAATGAACAAAGGCAGCAACTGGGCAGAAAATAAATGTCCAAACAGGCCACTCTGAACAATGTAGCAGAGGTGGCATTCAGTAGGTTCTGACCAGTTCTGGAGAACCCGTAGCGGAAATTTTAAGTAATTTGGAGAACCGGCAAATGCCACCTCTGACTAGAGTTTTTACGGAGTCTTTCCCCTGCCATGCCCACCAAGCCATGCCCACAGAACCGGTAGTAAAAGAATTTGAATCCCACTACTGCAATGTAGGCTCCTTTGCTTCCATGCAGAGTTTTCCAAACAAAAAAATTAAAATTGCACAGCAATATGAGATTACAATTTGCAGACACAGCATTCACTGCCAACAAAGGTTTTAAACTACAGATCACAGCCCCAAAAACTATGTGTAACTATGGGTTATTCATAAGACCCCTTCCAAAGATGACAATGAGCTGTAAATAAGAGTTAGCATGTATATACACATACACACACACAATACATACACATACATGCTAACTCATTTTACTTCATCATTCACATTAAATTAAACCGCATCCACCTATGTTTTTGTCACCACCTTACCGATGTCATCTTTCAGCCTGACAAGGAACAGCACACTTTTGGTTTCTGTGTATTTTCCTTTAAAATATATAGAGAGTAGGAAAAATATCCTCAAAACTTAAACTCTGATATTCCTAATTCAGAAAATGCTACTCCAGCTTTCCACTTTAGCTTTTAGAGGACTACAGAATTCAAACAGAAGATGAAGCCAGAAAGAAAACATTAAAAAAAAAAGTGTGAAATGAAAACTGTATATATTTAAATACTCTTTCCAAATATTACCACTGTTAGAACTGGATGACACCTGGTAGCAAGCAGTGCAGCAGAATTTGGTACCAAATTAATCAAGAGGATTCTAGACCAGTATTTTTAAATTTGGTAACCGCATGCTATCTGAACTTCAGCTCCCATGCCCGCTGGGAAATCTGGGAATTGAAATGCACACAAAGTTGCCAAGTATGAAAAATAATGATCTAAACTATAATTTATAAAGGGAAAGCAAGATTGTCATGAGCATGGGCACTTGTTTTAAATTCTGTTAATGCATTCTTATCCAAAAGAAATAATAATAATAATAATAATAATAATAATAATAATAATAATAATAACAACAACAACAACAACAACAACAACAACAACAACAACTTTATTGTCATTGTACATATATACAGCAAAATTGATTTTGCTCCTGCTGGTGCTATCCATAACAAAAAAACAATACAAAAATAACAATACATAATAATAAATAAATAATATACATAAATAATATAGAAAATGGTCCCTATACAAGTAATTAGGGAGAAACCAGTCATATGTTTCCATGCATGCATGGAGTGATTGTAGTTGTATTTAGGAGTCAGCCCATGGATAAAAGCTGTTTTTACACCTGTTTGTCTGGCTGGCATACTTCTGTATCTAAAATAATGTTCTGTGTTTCAACCTCCCAATAAAGTTTAACAATTTAACAATTCACATTTGAAGCAATTTTTTTTTAAAAAAACAAAAGTGCAATTAGGATACCAAAACAATACCAGCACACAGTTTTGGGTAAGACCAGCCACAGCAACCAGATTCAATGCCAGAAGATCCTCCCAGAGAAAATTATTCTACAGGCAAGGTGCCACAATTCAGATTATTCTATGGCCTTTATTAAACTGAGCTCTACAAATTTTAATATAAAGGGCCCTTAGCAGTTGGACAAATTTGGGTGGAAGTAGGCTGTCCTTCTGAACTCTAGACGTTAAAGTTGTATATGGCTTTCTAGGAAAATAAATAGCAATTAGAACTAGAATGGTGGCAACCAGTGAAGTTATTTAAGCATTAGCAACGTATCTTCCATTCCTTTATCTTTGGATAACAGTCCAGCTCCCAAATTTTAGAGCAAAAGAACTTTGCAACAAGCTTGCCATGGTATATCCCCAAGCAACAAATGGTAGTGTCTAGGGATATTCAGACAATGAGAAAAATACTATGTCTTTCATAAATTTCCAAAACTTAAATATATAGTGTGATAAATTTCAGAATTAAACATTAGTGCTTAACAAGAGATCCTGGGCTCAAATTCATTTCCTGCCTAGGGTACACAACTAATTTTATTTTCATGAAGAACCATTAATGGTTGGTAAACCATATTCTTGTATGCCAAAGATTCCAGATTGAAATAGTATAATCTCTATAACAAAACACATTACATAGCAAATGCTGTGAAAAAGAACCCCAAAGCGCTTCCAGTTAAACAGATAAACAAGTAGCAGTTTTTCCTTCCTCAAGACAATGAAAATATCTTCAATTATATATATTTCCAATATTACAATAAGCTCATTACTTACCCTTTCTCTCGTAGATGTGGTCATGAATCCAACTTGCATCTGTCTGCATTGAGACAGATATTTCTAAGGGTTTTTGAGGCATATCAGCAATGGTGTCCAATATTTCCCTTTTAGCAGACACAAGATATCATGCAATCAAATTATCTTCAAATAAACTCCAATGTACCATGTCCCAAAATTATATTTGTTGCCCACTGCTTTTAAACAATATATACGGAAGGAATTTACCAACAGATAAGGCAGCATTTTATGTGAAAATCCAGTATAATTAGCTGGCTAAAATAGAAACTTTCTTATTCTGAGAGGTATTTCTCTGATCACAATTAATCTTATTTGTAATTGAACTCTTCCAAGAAAAGTTGATAAATATATCAAGGAACAGTCAAGATAAAGAAATACATCAATCATGAAAAGTTAATTCAGAGCACAAAATTGTAGCCATAGCAAAGTTTAAAAGATAAAAAAAAAATCAGCTAGAATGTACTTCCCTCAGTCTGAAAATAATGACACTCACAGAAACCACAATGATACCACATGCACAATTATATCATTCGAGAAATGCCGCCATTATCTACTGAAGTCTGACTCAAGTATATATGTTGTGGAATTTGAGGCACAGGGTCAACCTGCTAATGTTGTATTTTATTCTCCTGTCCCCCAGCAGGTGCCCATGTGTATACATCATTAAACCTACACAATGTAGTCCAGCCTTTCACAAACTACCTGGAGCCTTACAGATACCTTGGATTCCTACAAATTTTGGAATTATAAACTAATGCACATGTCAGCTGCCTGGATGAAAAAGAGACTTCTATAATTATACTCATTGTTTAAAGCACAATTTAGAAGGAACGTAAGTTATTTCCAACTTTTTCCAATCATCATTTGGAAAAGAGGAATGTACAGACAGCGACATCATTAAAGTGTGGAATATTGTTACTTAATAGCGACATGATTAACTTTCTTTTAAATACTTACCTGCTGATTTCAGTTTCTCTCCGAACTCCTCCTAATATCCTTGGAAAACTCTTAGTTGTTCCTGTTCATAAAACAATTGCATCATTCACATGGAAACCAAATTTTGTTCTGTACTGGCTATGAAGAGTTTAAATATAAATATGTTCCTATAGGCCATTTATGTGAGATAGCTTTGATGGCTTCTAGCCCATCTCTATGTCTTGAATATCTTGTGACCCCACCCAGCCTTTCTGTCTTGGCAGAAAAGTGGACTAAATATCTGAAGATGGTCAACAGATGATCTCTGGCTCAGACTCCAAACTTTTAGGAGGTCAGCAGATGTGGCAATGAACTTGGAAGGGTTATGTCTGAGATTTTCAGACAATGCTTTGGTCTAAGGAGTTCAGCTTGTTTCTATGGGAATTAAGTGGGAATGGGACAAGAATAGTAACAGCTGTTCTTGGAGGCAGCTAGTAATATTCCATCCTTAATATCCTCACTGCAAAACAAACAAACAAACATGGCCCCAAATCACAGAACCAATGTTTGATCAG